ACTGTGTGTACCAACCCGACTAGAAACCCACCTGAGGAAGCTGTGGCATGTTCTGTTTCTCTGATCTTCCAGCGCTGACCCCAATACCTGGCTCCAGGTTTGCTCTTATTAATAAGACCATTTAAGATTCACGCTACATCTGGCACCCAACGTTCGTGGTTCGAATTCAAGAAAAAGCTACTTGCCTGTGGCCTTGTGGGACCCAGGTCAGACCCGAGCTACCCTCAGCCGGTTGTGGTGGAGCATGCTGGTAGGATTTGCAGGAGAGAGGCAGGAGGATCCTGAGTTTGAGGCCAGCCTAGGAGACTTGCTGAAGAGAAGCTATGGCCAGAGTCAGGCCACAAACAGTGGAGGCAGGAACATGGAGGTGGTGGCTTCTGCTCTAAGCTACAAACTGCTTCTCATTGTGTTGGTGACTGTGGTAATGCTGCTACCTGGGACGAAGGGTTTACTACTGCTTTTTCAGAGAAGAATTGCCTGGACCATCGTGTTACAAGAAAGCATTGGCAAAAGTCAGTTTGGAAAAGTTTGGCAAGACAAATGGTGGAGAGAAATTGCTATGAAAATTTTCTCTTCTAGGGAAGAACATTTATGGTTCCGAGAAACAGACATTTATCAGACTGTGATTGCTCCAAACCACAGAGGAGGCGCGCGCACACACACACACACACCACACACACCACACACACCACACACACACACACACACACACACACACACACACACACACACACACACACAAAAGTCTTCAGGGAACCATGACCACACCTAACAGTGACTTTGAAATCTTCAAAAAGATGACAGGATCCCACAATGAAGATTCCACATGGACTATGGTAAAACCATTAAGCTAATTAACACCAAGGAAAGATCGACTTTGGACTATAAACTGTTCAAGACAATTTCAAGATGGCTAGCTGAGATGATCCAGCCTGACAGACTACTTGAACAAGGACTTGAAACAAGCCCTGCACTTTCTCATTATGCAGCGACTGGACAAATGATACAGGACTTGACAATTAACCCAAAATTTTTCTTTTCAAGATTCCCTAAAGATGTCTTCACCCCCAGAAAGCAAGAAGTAATTTTAAGAACACGATGCCCACATTCCCAAGAGGTGGGGTGTATGCTTTTTTGTTGTTTAATGAGTTTTGGATATTGTCATTGTTTACAATGATTGGTTACAAGTTGTTAATTGTTAATGGTCAGGAAAAAAGATGAACATGGAGATTAGATTCAGAGGTTTTGTTTAAAAAAAAAAGGAGCCGGGAGGTGGGGGCGCACGCCTTTAATCCCAGCACTCGGGAGGCAGAGGCAGGCGGATCTCTGCGAGTTCGAGGCCAGCCTGGGCTACATACAGAGTGAGTTCCAGGAAAGGCGCAAAGCTACACAGAGAAACCCTGTCTCGAAAAACCTAAAAAATAAATAAATAAATAAATAAAAATTTAAAAGAAGGAAAAAGAAAGAAGAGAATATAGATATGAGGTATATCATTGACTCTACTCTGAGAAAAAAGATAAAGAAATAATAGGATAAATGGGTAGATCACTGAATCTACCCTAAAAAGAAAAAGGGGAAGATATAAAAATGACAAAAGGTAGATTACTGAATCTATTATGAAAAGAAAAAAGAGAGAATATGTATATGATAAGATAAAAAAGGAGATTATTGAATCTACTTTAAAAAATGAACTACTTGTTTTTTGGGTTTTTTTTTTTTTTCAGAGCTGAGGACCGAACCCAGGGCCTTGCACTTGCTAAGCAAGCACTCTACCACTGAGCTAAATCCCCAACCTCGAACTACTTGTTTTAAATAGGATAAGTAATGAAAATTTTTTTGTCTAAGTTTATCAAATGCTACTGGACTGGACATTGTTAATATATATAATGGAGTTTTTATCTGAATCCGTCAAATGTTAATGGACTAGACATCATCACTGTAATTCTTGACTGTATATATTGTATATACTTATTGGATAGTTTTTCTTATATTAGTTATAAGGCTTTTTTAAATTTTAGACAAAAAAAGGGGGGAAATGTGGTGGTATTGTGTTCCCTGAAATATTGTGCACTCTAATAAACTTATCTGGGGTCAGAGAACAGAAAAGCCACTAGATACAGAGGCTAGAAAATGGTGGCACTCGCGCCTTTAATCCTAGCATTCCAGAGGCAGAGATCCGACTGGATCGCTGAGTTCAAGACCACATTGGAAACAGCCAGGCATGGTGACTCACGTCTTTAATCCCAGGAAGTGATGGCAGAAAGCAGAAAGGTATACAAGGCGTGAAGACCAGAAACTAGAAGCTTTTAGCTGGTTAAGCTTTTAGGCTTCTGAGCAGCATTTCAGCTGAGATTCATTTGGATGAGGACTCAAGAGACTTCCAGTCTGAGGAAACAGGATCAGCTAAGGAATTGTTGAGGTGAGGTGGCTGTGGCTTGTTCTGTCTCTCTGATCTTCCAGCGCTGACCCCAGTACTGGCTCCGGTTTGCTCTTATTAATAAGAACTTTAAGATTGGTGCTTTAAGATTGGTGCTACACCCACCTGTGCCTTACACTGACGTCTTTTCCTAACCCGACTAGAAGCCCACCTCAAACTCTTTTGTTCTGAAAAATGAGCTCTGATTTTGCAGGTCTGTTTCTGAAACTTGCGGCCTTTAATCAATGCTCCCCATTAGAAACCACTGGCGGACTGCAGCCACTGTCCCAGTGCAGATCCTCTACTGCCTCACCTGCAGTGACTCACACTACTGTCCTCGTGTCTGGATCATTTACTGCATGCAAATGTGACCTGTCTTCAATCACAATGCCATGGAACAGATTTGCTCTGGAACAGAGACTTAGATTAAAGGAGTGCTGGAGAGAGGGCTCAGCAGTTGAGAGCACTGGCTGCTGTTCCAGAGGACCCAGGCTCAACCCTCAGCACCCACATGGCAGCTCACAACCATCTGTAACTCAAGTCCATCTGAACTCAGAGGGCACTACATGTACAGGTGCACAGACACACAAGCAGGCAACACACCCATACACAAAAAATAATTTAAGAAAAAAGAAACAAGCTAGGTGTGGTGGCACACTCCTTTAATGCTAACGCAGAGGCAGGCAGATCTCTCTGAGTTCGGGGCCAGCCTGGTCTACAGAGTGAATTTCAAAATGAGCAGAGTTATGTAGTGAGACCCTGTGTCAAAAGAAAAGATTCCTACTTCAGAAGATTCTGCTCAGAATCAGAAATACTGCCTGCTATTGTGAACTAGCTAACACCCAATTTCATGCCAAACTATGTGAACAATAAAGCTGGAACTAACAAACACACACACACACACACACACACACACACACACACACACACACACTCACTCACAAATGGAATAAACAGACTCACTAAGGACACCAGAAGATCTGAAGCATCCGGTGACACTCCATCAACACACAGCTGGAGGATCTGAATGAACGTGGTCTGATACATCCTGTCCTAGACAAACAAGCAACGGTGCCAAGGAAACCCGGCAAACATCGGAGCAGCTGAGTCAAAGGTATGTCCTCTCCATGCACTGCACAGAAGCTAACAAGGCCATTCCACCCATGCTCCCTGAAGTGCTGGCCCACCAGTGACAAGCTGGACACCTGCAAAACCTTTAAAGATGCTATTCTTTCACTGGGACACTGGCATCTCAGCTGCTGTTAAAGGAATCTCTCCAATCCTAACCCAACTACCAAATGCATTACACTGTCTGGGATTTTTATATAAACCACCAGAAATAACAGATTTGAAAGACAAAAGGCAAACCGCTGAGAACCTGTCTTCAAAAGGAAAAAGAACCAAACGTAAAGCACAAAGACCCAGAAATCTCTCCCAACAATGAGGAACCTCACTGCCAAATGCTACAGCATAAATTACCTAAGAGCATTGCTAAAAACCAGAGGAAGTGTATTTGTGGCTATTCTCTTACTTGAAGAATGTAAATAATGTACAAGAGACCCTTGGATTCCAGTTCTGTGGATAAATAATTCACAAATCAGCCTCCTGGGCAGGCAAGGGTTAAGTGGTGAGGTTCTCAAAGTCCTTTGCTTCTCCCACAATGATAGCTTAAAGGTGGAAATTAAACAAGTCAGACCCTCAAGAGGTGCACCGCTAGGACCACCTGCTCACCATGCCTGCCTCCTAACATGCCTGTAGGTGATTCCAGAATCATATTTAATACAAGGCTGAATACAAAGGCATTTCCATCAACATCTCAAATTCCCAATTTCCTGTTACATTTATTAAACCTTCAAACCAGTTAGTGAGAAAGGTAAAGGAAAGAGGTCTTTGGGTTGCTGACAAATAGCTCAGATCTTACAGGCAATGAGACACAGTTAACTTCCATGCCGGTTTTCTTTAAAAAATAAAAGCTGTATAGAGAAAAGCCACAAAGGCGTATTAATTGGCAGCTGACCACACTAAAAGGAATCTCACTTTCTGTATTAAAGCTAAACACATAACAGGTGTCACCCTTGGAGTGCTAGGCGCTCTTCCCCCACAGCTCAACACTTAAGGCAGGAAAGCTCTAGCTGATGTTGTAGGAAAATTACTGAAAATTCGCTTTTTGTGCAAAATTAAAACCTTAAAGAACACTTCACCAGGTGGTCCAGCACACGCCTTTAATCCCAGTACTCGGGAGGCAAAGGCAGGCGGATCTCTAATATACAGAGCGAGTTCCAGGACAGCCAGGGCTACAGAGAAATCCTGTCTCAAAAACTTTAAAAACAAACAAATGGTTTTTTTTCTTTTATGAAAGTTTTCTAGGAGAAAGTTGCACCAAATAAACAGACGCTGTATGCGCCCCTCCCAAGCACCATGAGCTGCAGTGGAAAGGCTGCACAGGGACTGACAGGTGACAGGTGACAGGAGCCCTTGAGGAGTAGGCACTTACTGGATGATCTGATAGGAAGCCAAGGGTCTCACTCAGGTGTAAACCAAGGAGCCCATGCCTAGGAAGGAAGGGCAAACAGAGCAGGCTTACCCTTGGCTGCCAGTTCTCATACTGCTTCTGTAGGTTTGCACCGATAGTTTCCAGAGCTTTCTGAGGACCCATAGACAGAGGATCTGTAGAAGCAACAAAAAGAAACTTCAGTAAATGTGCACATCTTCTTCTGGAAAGGTTCTTGCATGGAGCCTCCTTTTCCACAGTGCAAAGTCACCTTTGACCAGACACACATCCAAGCCTCAGTTTATCTGTGCTTAACCAGAAGCAGAACTGATAGTACACTGGACAGGCTCCACAGCCCAGAAGATTGTTCCTTCTTGTTTATTAAATGGCTTCAGGGCAACCACCCCTCCTGTAGCACCTGCCATCCTTCCCATTCTTCTGCTCTAGTGCTGCTCGGTGTCAGAGAGGCCCGGCTGTGCTTCTACTGGGATTCCACAGTAAAAATGCAACCCTCCTGTGTGCGGAGATGGAAAGAAGAAGGGGGGGAGGGGGAGTGTTAGGAAGGAGGGAGAGAGGGAGGGAGGGAGAATGTTTAGAAGGGAGAGAGGGAGAAAGGGTGTTAGAAAGGAGGAGGGTGTTAGAAGGGAAGAAGGGAAGGATGGTGTTAGGAAGGAGGGAGGGTGTGAGGAAGCAGGAAAGGAGGAAGGGAGAGTTTTAGGGAGGAGGGAAAGAGGGTGTTAGGAAGGAGGGAGGGAGAGAGGAACCCAAAGAACAACACACACTCACTTTCATCTAGAAGAAACACACACACAGACACCCCTGGTTTTCCGCTTAGTCACTGAGCAGCTTCTATGCTAACAACCCTAAGCCTGCTAACAACCCTCACACCTGTCTGTCTCAGGACCCTTCGTCAGTCTTTAAACATCTGATGACCCCAAAGAGCTGTCTATTGATAGACACCATATTAGCGAGGCAGGAGGATCACAAATTCAAGGCCGGCCTGTGCTACAAAGAGAATTAGCAAATGAGAGAGAAAAGGAGTATTTAATTCATATAGGAAAAATTATTTTATCTTGATTCATTCATTTAAATATGACAAACTGGGACTGGAAGGATGGCTCAGCAGTTAAGTGCACTTGTTGTTCTTGCAGAGGACCCAGGTTCAATTCCCAGCACTCTCATCATAGCTCACAACCATCCACAACTCCAGTTCTAGAAAAATCCAATGCCTTTTGACCTCCTGCATCAGGCATGCATGCAGTACAGACAAACATCTGAGCAAAACACTCATATATATAAAATAATCTTTTTTAAAACTAAATATGGCCGGGCGGTGGTGGCGCACGCCTTTAATCCCAGCACTCGGGAGGCAGAGCCAGGCGGATCTCTGTGAGTTCGAGGCCAGCCTGGGCTACCAAGTGAGTCCCAGGAAAGGCGCAAAGCTACACAGAGAAACCCTATCTCGAAAAACCAAAAAAAAAAAACTAAATATGATAAATTCACTGTCTTAACATGAATATTTATGATGAAAAATAATAATGATCTCTCCAAAAATTTAGTGAGAAGGGGATGAAGATGTAGCTCACTTGGTAGAATGCTTTGTCTAGCATGCATGAAGCCCTGGGTTCCATCTTCAATACCACAAAATACAGGTATGAAGGTGTAGGCCTGAAATCTCAGTACCCAGGAGGTAGAGGCAGGAAGATCAGAAGTTCAAGGTCATCCTCAGCTACACAGCAAGTTTCAGTTGGCAGCTGCACTGTCTGGGTCTGTGCTCACCTCCCCTGACATTTGTTGTTGCAGTTGATGCATATGGAGAAAAATCACAGCACTCACCCACGTTCACAGTAGGGAGAGGAGACCTTAAACAGGGATTTAGTGGCCATGGCTCTGTCCTCTGCTTTGACTTCTCTTTATGATTACTTGATATATGATATCTGAGGCATGGCAATGAACTTAAGCTGGCCTTGTGGCATCTTTCGGAAAACATTGGCTCATTGAGTGATACAGATCACATATTGTTCCCTGGTGTTTTTAAAATAAATCCACATTCACTGACACAACGCCATCTCATCAGAAGCCAGAAACTCACAGTGACAGATACAAGTTTCCAAATTCTAATGTTTTATTTGAAATCTCAAATTTTGTCACTTAAAGTGACAACCACTTCATTCACTTTCTGGAATGCATGTGCCTTTCCTTCAGGTGAAGACAGCAGGCCATGCAAAATGCAGCAGCTCAGCTCCTACACCTGTGTTGTAGGAGCTCCTGGAAGCTGCCATAGTGGCCAATTCTGCCCAGGGCTTGGGGCTCTTACAAACTCTAGTTTCATCATACAAAATATTAAGAGCACTCTTGGGAACTGAAATTTAAGAAATCTGTTATGCATTTCTGATTTACCAAGGACAATCTTTTAAAAGCTGGGTATTTTTTCCTTATTTAGTTTATATTCATAATCATAAACTTAACTCCAGCTAGACTTAGAAGGAGTAAGAAAAACATGGAACCCCAGGCAGTGAGAACACAACGTTTAGGGAGCACTACAAGCAGATGGGGGATGTTCTCCTGACTGCAGGAAGGGTGCTCTGTGTTAAGATGCGGTCAAAAGCATTAGAGTTGGCGGTGGTGGCACATGCCTTTAATACAGCACTCAGGAGGCAGAGCCAGGCGGATCTCTGTGAGTTCAAGGCTAGCCTGATCTACAGAGCGAGATCAAGGACCTGCACCAAAACTACACAGAGAAACCCTGTCTCAAAAAAAAAAGCATTAGAGTTGGCAACAGTCGGCCCTGTCAAGCTTTAGGTGGAACGACGCAGCTTTCACAATGCTCACACCACACCTTCTTTTATCTGCCCAAAGCCCAAATTTGCCATCCAGCCACTTCATCTTGCAGATGAAAACCTGGCAACCACTGGTGTCTGCTCCAGCATTTGCCATAGACAAGATCCCAGGCCCTGTACACTTCAAGGGGAAGTTCTCATCCTCAGATTTCTTCCACAGACGGACTTACTGTCAGTGTCATTATCGTGCATAAACTCACCTCCCCAGCACATGAATCCTAGGAACCTCCTAACCAAATCATTTCCAGTGCTCAGGGAACAAAAAATCTTCTGCTGTCTTTGGAACTTGCTCTGTCAAGGGTGAGAGGGAAACTCAGTAGAAGGGTTCAACATTAGCCATTATGTGACTGACTATGGCTGCCAGCGGTACTACAAGTGGACTCGGTTTTTTGGTTGTGGTTTTTATTTTTGTTTTTGTTTGGGGGGGGGGGTGTCAAGACAGGGTCTCAATATATAGTACTGGCTGTTCTGGAACTAATCTGTAGACCAGGCTGGCCTCCACCTCACAAAAGATCTGCCTGCCTCTGCCTCCTGAGTCCTGGGATTAAAGGTGTGTGCCACCACCACTTGGATCTTTTTTTAAAAAAAAAAACAAAACAAAAACAAAAAACTCAAAGAACTGGAAAGGACAGAAGTCACTGCCTTTACCCCTTAGAAGACTCCAGCAGTTTCACCCACAGGGCATTTTTTACCATCAGTAAGAAAGGTCAAATGTTGAGCAAGCTGTTTCTAAGGGAACACAAATGTCCCCAGAGTCCAGACAAGGCAAAGACAATGAGAACAAAGAAACGACTCTACCCAGGTAGAGTTTAGTTCCCCTGAGGGTTAACTACAGGAATATAACAACTCATAGACAGCTGCAACACTGAAGGACAGTCTCCCCGTGTGCTAGGCAAAGGTACATTCACAGACACAAACGTCATTTTAAAAGGCTTTTTTATTATAAAAATAAATCTTGGGCTGGAGTGATGGCTCAATGATTAAGAGCACTGGCTGCTCTTCCTGAGGACCCAGGTTCAATTCCCGGTACCACATGGCAGCTCACAACTGTCTATAACTTCAGTTCCAAGGGATCTGACATCTTCACACTGACATACATGCAGGCAAAACACTAATGCACATAAAATAAATTATTAAGGAAATAAATCTTTGATTAGAAATGACTGTGGCCTCATAAACCCCTCTACTGTATGTGACATAAACTGTCCAAATCTTATGTAGGTTTCCTTTGAGGAATCACAGCTGCTGGCAGTTCAAGAGACCAGAAGCCACGCCTGGAGGACAGTGCTCCAGAGACAACTAATACTATAATGCCTTTATTAAATGCTTCTAGGGCTAGGAATGGAGCACAGTTAGTATAGAGCTTGCCTAGTATGTACAAAGCCCTAAATTCAATCCCCAGTACAATATTAACCATGAACAGTAACAAACAGTTACCTGCAATCCCAGTACAAGGTCATCTTTGGCTACATAGTGAGTTTGAGGCCAGCATGGGCTACATGAGACCCTGTCTCAAAAACCAAACAACAGCCAGGCGGTGGTGGCGCACGCCTTTAATCCCAGCACTCGGGAGGCAGAGGCAGGTGGATTTCTGTGAGTTCGAGGACAGCCTGGTTCTACAGAACAAGTTCCAGGACACCAAGGTTGTTATACAGAGAAACCCTGTTGGGGGCGGGGCAGGGGCACGGTACTTCCAACTTACAGATTCTGGGAAAGAGTCTTGGGGAGCCCAGATCCTAACACTAACAACCTTCAACGTGGCTTTAAGTACTACTTTCCACGGAAAGGATTCTTTCAAGAGAAGACAAGGAGCCTGGGTCCTGTGAGCCATCATTCTCCATTCTCTCAACATGCTGGCCAGGCCCTGACTTGGGAACTAAGCTCCTAGTCAAACACTCTCTAAAGTCAGAACCTTCCTGTGAGTTATATGCTGAGCCTGAAGACACAGACAATTATAACAGGCCATCCCTGACCCCATCCCTCTGTAGGAACCACTTTACCCTGATGGGTATTTCCTGGCTTTCCATCAGACATCAGCAAAGACCTTCTTCCTAAGTGGGGAGATCCTTCCCTTCCTGCTCGTCCTACACAGCTTACAGTCATGGGCCACAATTGAGACATGGAAATGTCACTACTTTACTGCGGTGCTCTTTCAGCCTCCCTGTTCTCCTGGTGCCCAGTCACCTCTGCCCCAATTCTCCACACATACTTTCCACCAACTCACGCAGCAACTACTCGGTTTCACTTTTCTTGACCGCCAACTATAAAATCTGATCTTAGAAGAAGAATACAGGATTTCTTTGCAGAAAGTTCAAGAATCCCAGGAAAGGGCCTGC